CCTCCTCCTCCTCCTCCTCCTTCACCACCACCTCCTCCTCCTCCTCCCCCCCCTCCCGCACCAGGAACCTTTCCGCTTCGCCACGCTTGCTCCCACCCCGCCCGCAAGTCAGCAGGCTGAAAGTAGCGCGGGTTCTCGCTGTTTGGCGCTGAGCGGCCTGAAACGCGATCATGGCTGCGCCATCCCGAATCGCGGCCTCCTTGTACGTTGCCGCCGCCTTCTTTTCCTTGTTTACGGCCCGCTTGCGCTCAACCTCGAGGGCCTCGTAGTTGGTATTGACCTCCTTGTGCCGGCGCTTGGCCTCGGCGACTTTGTCGGCCAAGAAGGCCCGTCTAAACGGCTCAACGCCTGCAGGTCATTGTTTTTCGTGCGATGTTTGGTTGTTCGGTGGTTTGCTCAAAGTGTCAGGGGTTGTGCAACACAGACAGACAGACAGACAGACAGACAGACAGACAGACAGACAGACAGACAGAAGAGAAATGACCTACTAGCGATGTCCGTAGTTTTTTCTTGTCGGAATGGTGAAGGCAACGACAGCAAGCGAGAGTTATTCGTGCAATACGTCGGAAATATGGGCCTTTCTTTCCGAGTGGTTTACGCGGGGCCTCGTGATGCGGTACGGTTGACGCGCGCACATGTCTCTCATGATATCGTTGCCGCAATGGCAGGGAAAGGTAGTGCACAATAAACGACATATTATCAAACGTCTGTCCTGTACGTAGTTTATTACTTCCAGCCAAGCTCGATGCGCTTCTCGAAAGCCATATTCTCACGCCTAGCGCTGCGGCTATGCCATCATCATCCTCAACCACAATACAAACAGCAGCAGCAGCAATGCTATCATGAAACCCCGAAACCGTAGTGGCAACTCGAGGACACGACTCATGAGGACGAAAAGACCCACCCACAATCTCCACCGCGTTTTTGACCGCCGCCCTCGCCCCCTCCACCTGCCCCCGGGCGTTCTTCACGGATTGGATGGCCTTCGCGAGCGCCTCCCGGGTGCGGTGCTGCGCTCTCAAGAGCGCTCCGTAGTCGTCGCAGAGTAGCGGGGGGAAGAGGACTTCCTCTCGGGCGGACTCGTGCGCCTGCTTCGCGTGGGACGCGCTGTGGCGCACCAGGGCGTAGATGTTCTCGGCGCTGCGGGCCACGTCTCTCGCCCTCCTGGCGCTCTCCTCGGCGGTGGGCAAGACGTCGGAGCAGTCGTCCAACATTTTCTCCAGCCGGTGTAGCTCCAGCTTCGTGGGTTCGAGGCACCGCTGCCAGCAGCCTTGCAGCCGTTCGTATATGTCGTTCTTGGTGCTTTTCGCCATCTCTAGCCTGTTTGGTGTTGTCGGACAATGTTTGTATCGGTGTTTCTGCTTCGTTTCTCGTAGTTTTCGGTTTCAAAATGACGCATGTTTCAGCCGATCCCGACAATGTGCGTCACACCACGGTACTGCCGCCTGCAGTAGGCCCTGCTGATACCCCTCTAGAATTGACAAGAGTTTCATGACGAGATTTTCGCAGGCCTTGGTACATAGTTTGTCATGCTAGTGGATAGGTATTGCGTGTAATAATGTTTGGCGGGTCAGTGATGTCAACATCAGTGAAACCAGTGGGTCGGCACTCTTGAGGAAAAACACCCAACGACGAATGTCGTGCAAAGTTTCCATGGTGTCGCCCCACCCCCTGACTAACCTGTGCCGAGCGCCAGACTCCACCGTGTGCGCCTCGTCCATGACCCGGCGCTTCACCTCTTGGTCCCGCATCGCGGCATTGATAGATTCCTCTGCGATGACTTCGAAGCGGTTCCCGGCACCGGCGGCGGCTTCCTCGCCGCCTTTTTTTTTTCTGCTCCCGACTGAAGATAACCATGGGCTCTGCGGCCAGCATGGACGGCCGCCCTAGCGTTTTCACGCGCAGAAAGGATAATTAACGAGAGGGAAAAACGAGTGCGGGCATGGTATCATTGTTTTTTTGCCTCTGAGGCAATCAATCGAGCATATCAGTTGAGAAGGAGAAGCGCCGCATCTTCTGTGTAGTGTTGTTCCCAACGTTTACCCTTAGACGCCGACGAGGTCATCGCCTTGTTTGACATGCTCACGCATCACCTGCCTAAAGAATGTGCTAGGTGAGAGGTTCAATCTATGTATGTGACCGTACTTTACACTGCCAAGTTTTTTTTCAATACGCTGGTACTATCTTCGTGCAATAGATACTGTACATAGGTAGATTGCTCTTATCGGAAGCACTGCAAACCTGCGTTCCATCAAGAGACGACGAGGAGGAGAGCGGGGACGGTCGCGATGAGCTTCCATCAACCTCGCAGCCACCCACCGTCGGCTTTCCACCCAAAACAACTCCTTCTTTCTCGTTTTCCCGCTTCCAAAGGGTCTTCACCCCTTCCTCAACGCCGTCCTCTTCAAGTTCAGTGTCGTGCCCTTCTTCCCACCGCTTCCTCGCAAGGCCCCTCCTCATTGCCCGTCCTCCGCAACCGAAAGGGATGCGGAACGGCTGGTACCGAGAGAGTCCACGGCCCCCCGTCCTTTGCACGGATGTTAGCACTCGCTTCTGGTGCTGCTGTTGCTGCCTAGCCGGTGGCATCGGTGCCATAGATGAAAGAGGCGCCAGCAGTTGTTTGTTGTTCGCAAGGGGTGGCGCCAGCGCTGATGGTGGCAACGCTGATGGTGGCAATCGCTGCTGCTGCTGCTGCTGCTGCTGCCGAACCGGTGGTAGCAATGGCCCAGAGAAAGGAGGAACCGGTGGATTGTCATTCGCAAGGCCTGGGGCCGATGCTGGTGTTGGCGCCAGCGGTGCTAGTGTTGGTACCGTCGGCAGACGGGCGTCCTGCTTTTGTCTCTTGCTAGTCCTCGGAGGTCCTTCCTGTTGACACATTGTCCCGGTGGAACCAAAGTTACGCTTCGTTGACGCTGATGTTGACGCCGGTGCTGACCCCTCTGCGGCTCCCGCCGCCGGTTTCGCCACGATGGCATCTTCTCGTCTACCAGAGGGAGGGCGTGCCAACATCTCGCGGCGGCCAGCCAGGCGGGGTTGCAGACCACCGCCGACGTTGTTGGCGTCCATCTCATGGGGGCGCCTCCTGGTTCGCTGCATGGGCATGGTAAAAATAGCATTGATGGTACGAAGGGTCGCGCTAGGGGCTGGATTGGGGCTGGGGTAGAGCCCAGGGTTGTTCGGCATGCGGCCGTTGTTGCATCTTGCTGACTCGTTTGGCATCTTTCACGTGTCTAGACAATAGATCCAGGTAGGTGCTGCTGATTACTGTCGGTGTGTCGACTGCGGTTGGCTTCTACTGGTGATGAACTGCCTTCTTCTATAGTTGCCTCGGGCCAAGAAAATTAACTTCGCGGGGCGGAGCGTGAGAGAGAGAGAGAAAGCAGGGATCGTTCACGCACACCCGCCGGGGACGGCGTTGTTCCGTTTCGTCGACAAACGCCCCTATATACTCAATCCAACAGTATTTCTGTTGCGATTCTACTGCGCTTGTCTCACGAAAGCTCAGGCTCACTTTGCATCCTCAGTCATACTACCCAGAATGTTGCAACAGTCCATAGACGAGGGCGGGAGAGGTGCAAACACTCTGACAAAAGAGTCCTTCCGCAGAGAGAGCCACGAAAGATCCCTCCGAAACGGCATCGATTGCACCGCGTTCATCTGGCGCTTGCACCCGTTAGATATTACCCGTGTAGCTGCGGCGGGTACGCCCCACTCTCAGCTAATGTGCTCTCGTTCGCACAACTTCCTTGGCTATAGGTAGAGGTAAAGAGGAAATTGTATCTCGATGATGTACTGCAGTCTGCTATGGTGTCTCGTTTCCTTTATTGAATGGTTCATTCAGCGTTCAGAGAGAGGTGCATTTGGAAAGCGTACGGCCCGCAGATTGGTTTCACGCATACATGTATTAGCGGGCTTCGCCCGTGTAACTAAACTCCAAAGCCTCTGCCCCGGTACAAAAACAAATGGTCACGTGGAAAAAAATAATTACATGAGTAGGTCGAGTGGAGTGATTGATTTTGTTTCATGTGTCGCCGAGGATGTACGTGTGATCAGTAGTATATCTACAGCACAGCAGTATAGTCCTAGCTGTACCCGTTTTATTGGTTCCTTTGCGGACTGCTGTTATTCTCGCGTGCCTATTTTTTTCCCGCCGCCCTGTACACTATACAGAAACCTTCTCCGTTCTCCAAGAGAAGGTTATGCGTTGTTTTCCTCCGACGTGATGGTCGGTAGTTACATACATACATACGAAGCAAGATAATTTTCTAGTTTCAGATTCAGGGACGCAATAGGCAAATTTTCGGTCGGGGTTGGGTTATTATGGTAGTAGTATCAATGAGATAGGCGATGTGTGTTTGGGTGTGTGTGTGTGTGTTTTCATTATTACCATCGACCGCGCTAACCGGCTGACCAATGAAAAGATGTCAGTCTCAGTGCGGCTGAAAACACATGTGTACGCCACCAGCGCCCTTCTTCTTCATCCTCTCAGCGTCGAAACCACGCTGGGAATCGACGTTCCGACGGTGGTATTATTTAGTTCCCCCCAAAACCCTCAGACGCAATCGCACAACAGTGGGCACGCCATAGAAAGTTCTTCGGGTAACTCTCGCTCTTCGCAACAAACCTCGGGCAACACCCACCACACTGGTGCTCTGTCCCTCTGTCAACCCCAAACACACGCCCACACCGGCCCTTCGTCTGGCATCATGGTTTCGATCAATCACAATGCCCGTCAACAACTTCCAAAATGGTGGCCTTCCTCGTTCATCACAAGACGCGCGCGTGTCGAGCCCTGTTGCCTCTAACGCTTCGGTGTTACGCAACACCAGCACTACTTCGGAACATGTTGCTCCTTCACGCCCTGTTGCCTCTAATACTTCGGTTTTTCGCACCACCAACGCTACTTCGGTACACGTTGTTCCTCCACACTCTGTTGCCTCTGACACTTCGGTTTTACGCAACACCAACAATACTTCGGTATATGTTGCCCCTTCGTGCCCTGTTGCATCTAGCACTTCGGTCCTATGCAACGATAACATCACTTCGGTGCCTACGCACTCTGCTGCCTCTGGCATTACGATGCCTCGCACTGGCAACCATACTTCAGCACACGTTGTCTCTTTAAGTGTCGGTCAGGTCGGTATTCAGCGACATGCGCTCATCCCACCTTCACAATCGCACTTACCTTCTGCAACCCCTGTACCCTCGCCTCTTTGGATTAATGCTCCGTCGGAAACTAACCAGTCTGACGCGAGTGCTGTCTTGAGGCGCGGGAACAGGCCCGTAGGACCTTCGGGGCCATCGAGTGCCGCTTGCGTGACACCACTTGTCCGCTCCTCCCGTCGTCTGCAAAAGACCGGCTGTAGTGATACGCTTTGGACGATTGATGAGGAAACGCCTGAATTGGTCGCTTCTGGTGAATATTCGGACACGATTAATTCTTGTGTGCTCGCTTCCGTTGAGGGTCCGCCCTCGGCCGTTGCACCGGTAGCAACTTGACTGGTTTGCACCGGCAAGTTTCAGGGTCAAATTATTTTGGCTTCGAATCGCCTGGTTCCCCCGGTTCCGACCGCCGAACATCATCAGATTCCGCCACGCGACGTTTCGACCGTGGGTCGTCGTTACACGATCCATGTCCTCCGACGCACGCTCGCCCAGAGGCGCCTACTAATAGGACGCCGCGACCGACGTCGACAGTGTGGACACCACCGCTTCGGGAGGACGCCCCAGAAGTGACCTCCGAACAGCCGGAGGTCTCGCGTACCTCGTCACGGAGGAATGGCCAGGAGCACCACGCTTGACTCAGTTTTACTGACCCGGCCTTGGCGGCCGTTCCTAGGGAAAGCGGCTTGTTGAATGACACCTCATGAGGCGTTTCTTCAGGTTTAGAATTAGGGCGCATCCAGCATAGTGTCGCTGGCCCAATTATTGCGAACAATTCGACTTCGGTCGCCGATTCTTCGCCGGTCTCTGCCGTATCTGAGGCCATCCCCATGGATATCCATGCCGTCACCCATTATACGAGCGTCCCGCCCGCTGTAGCTTCGGCTGCAATCCCAGCTTCGGTTGACCGCACTCAGGGCGCTTCGGCCCCTGCCACTCAGGCTGTTTTCGACCCGTTTACAGAGTATTGTACTCCTGACATGGCTTTCTTCTGGAACCCCCCCTCTCCCAATGGACTGCTTCGACTTTTGTGGTCGATGGAGTCGTGTATTATTTGTGTGCTGAGCAGTTTTTTTTTGCTGCGGACAAGGCTCGTCTTTTCGAAGACCACCGAGCTTTGCAGAACATCATGCGAGTATTCGACCCTGCCTTACACAAGAAGTTTGGCCGCGAGGGCCGTGGTTTCGACCAACCTATTTGGGAACGAGAGCATGAAACCATCGTGCTCACTGGCTCCTACGCAAAATTTAGTCAATACTCCGAGTTTCGAGATCATCTCCTCGGATCTGGTGACAAAATCCTTGAAAAAGCCAGCCCCTTCGACCGTATTTGGGACATTGGCCTTCAGGCCGATGATCCTGACGCTCGCTTCGCGTCTCTGTCGCGCGGTCTCAATTTGTTGGGCAACGCCCTGCAACGAGTACGCAGTCTTTTACGACGCAATGCCCCGCCCCCCGAGCGCTGCTCCCGTTTTTCTGTCTACTACGGGTCACGTTCCGACGTCATCTCTTCATCACGCGGTGTACGAAGTTAATCCTGCCACCCACCAGCGCCTTCGGACGGCTTCGCGCCCTCCGTCGACCGCACGATTCGCGTCATTTTCGCAATACGCTCCGAACGTTCCATCGGATCATGATACCGCTGTTTGGGCCGTGTCTCCTGGGTGCACCTCATCATCCTCGTCCTCTTCTTCGCTCTTGGAGCAAGGTCCGGATTTGGTTGGTCGCGTTGTTACCATCGATGACGATTCTTCGCTACCAAAATCCTCATTCACAGTGGTTCAGCCTCTGTTCAATTTGGATGTGTTGCCCTTTTGGACACCGGTTCCCCGCAGTCTTTTATTAGTGCTTACACGTGGGATTCAATGAAAGCGGCTTCGGCTGCTTCATCGTTATCAAAGAAACAAACCAACCTCGTTGTTGGGATGGTTTCGGCAAATCTGCGCCGCTTCAAACTTCGACTATTGTCCGTTTGAGTGTCCAGTTCTTCCGTAAGAGTCTTCCTACTTCCTCTCTCGCTGTTTGGTGGTACTTTGTTCCCGATGGTGTCATGCATCATGACGTGCTTCTCGGGAGAGACAGTTGGATGCGGTTTAGCGACCGCTCTTACCGCACTTTGCGTGCGAAACGCCCTGGTCACCGTGTTTTGGCGAGCTTAATCTGGCTCAGCATAAAAGTTGCGGTGCCACCGCATTTGGTCTCGATTTGCCTTCCACAGATGGTAACTACCAACTTCGCTATGCCGGGAAACATTCCGTCTAACTTCACCCCGAGCATAGCCTCATTCCGGTTAATTTG